TACTTTGTACCACTGACTGTACAAGGGGAAAAAAAAACCACAAAAATCTTTCACTGTAAGTGAAATCCCAAGGTAGCATAAAGCCAGCAAACAGCTTTATGTTCCTGTATCCTTCAAGCATGGAACAGCTTTAACTGTGGTCAAACAATCATTACAGAAATGGAAAAAATGCCCTTCCTTTCACTGAATTCTGAGTAATATCCAAAGGCTTCTCTCCTTCACACAAAATGCTTTGATATTTATCACATAAATAACATTAGCATGTAAATTGAAATTATTTAAGAAGCAATTCATGAAAATAAAAAATGAACAGCCTTGAGAAAACATAGCGTTCACATCGTATCTGCAAGTTCAATTTATATTTTTCAAGATAAGGTTTTCCGATACATTGCCAGCAAATACTAATTAATAACCTTTAGACAGCAACCCATTCCCTGCTGCTGAAACTGCTTTGTGAAATATTTGTGTACCATGCCTGTGTAAGTAACTACTCAAATTCAGTATCACAACCTTGAATCACAAGCCAGAGTTTTGCTTCAAACATTTCCACATGAAATATACCTCAGCAACCACAGAGTAAGCCAAGGTCTTGTTCTGCAGAAAGCACATTTCACACTATTGCACTGCCACTGTATCCAACTACTACTATATTCACTCAAGACTCCTTTCCAGGCATCTTCCTTCTCTGCTTATAAGATTAGGAGAATCAATCAGATGAGTAATTCTGCACAAGCTGTTTCATTAGCTGAAAAAGAAGGAACTTAAAGATTCATAATGAAATAGGCAGATTTGCACTGGTTCCCCTCCCACAGGTAATCAAGCATGCAAGCAGCTCTAGGGACAAGACTAGTCCTGTTGACTTCAGGGAGGCAGAACACCAAGTTGGAGGCTCATGTTCCTCCAGGGTATCAGCAAAGACTACTATGTCTGAACTATCTGTTTGTCAGTATGACTCTCCTGGCCAGGTGGGCTGCAGGTAACAACACTAAGGGAAGAAAGAGACACCAGCCATGCTTGTGGCCCTGAGCAGAAGGAGCCTTCCCACGACCCCCTCTTTCCTCAGGTTACACACCCCTTCCTGTAAAGCAGGGATTTACCTTAATTAAAGGGATCAAAATACCATAACAAGCCTCTCCAATACAAGAACACAAAACTGGAAATATGACACACGCTGTGAGAAATCCCACAGGATTACTTCAAAGGCCAGGTGAAGACACACATCAGTATGAACAGCAATTTGGGAGTTACATAGAACAATGGAAATGAGGGCCTGAACTGCAAGATTGAGGTGTTTTCCATGCTGCAAGTCATTCCGGTTTTGGATATGTTTTCATCAACACAACTTTGAAGGGAAGCTTGCTGATGTTATATCCTAAATAAAGCAAAATTAGCAAAGTCTGTTGCTAGTGTCTTTAAAAGTATTTGTTTCTCTGATTTCTACAGGAGTCTAAATACCCATCTGAAGAAAATATATATTGCTTTTACTCTCCTGGGAGCAAACACAGCAAGGTGCTTGAGTTTCAGATCTTTCTTTGTAGTAAAAGACCGTTTAGAGTACTGACATGGAAACCATTACTCATATTCCCAGATATGAGAAATCAGAAAGTAAGAGAAGCATAAGCCATGAAGACAGAAACTGAAATGAATACAAATGGGGAGAGAGATCAAATTATATTAAAAAAAAAAAGTACCTGAAAGCTTTGTCACAACTGATTTAAAATATTCAGAGTCTGAATTAAAAGCCATCTTATTAAGAAAAGTAAAAACACCTTAAATTTGCAATATTTTTTAGTCTTCAGTAGCAAGCTGTCTAAAATCTAGTGGAACAATAATGATAAAGGACTGCTTTTGATAAAAATTATCCACAAAGTGTTTGATAATTTATCCTGAAAGGGATGTCGAACAGTAACAGAAAAAAGGAATACTTTTAGGATATTGTATTTGTCAAATTCAATGCTTACATTGGCTTCATGTACATAAACTGATTTGTCCAAACAGCCAGCCACGTCATGGGTATTCAATCAATACAGCAGCTGCAGAATGGCCAAAAGGCCATAATGCAGCACAGGGGACTTCACAACAGAGGATTTCCCAAGTTTGCTTGTTTTTTTCTGCTGCGCACATGTATATTTCTGTACAGACACGCACATATAAGCTCAAACATTTCTACAGGGAATGTTCAAATTCTTTTGTAACCATATCAGTCTGTTAATAGAAGCCTGGCTGTAGTTTTCACAGACTTCCAAGAGAAAACCAAATCAAATACAGGACACAAATCCTTAGTAAATTTCCTCTAAAGCACTGCCTCATGATGTTTCTAGTAAGTTGATGCTACTGCTCAGCAACAAGCCGTTTGCAGCTTTGCAAGCCTATTTTCTGTTCAAACAGCACAGTTTACACACACAATGATATTTTATTTCACACAGCAGAGATGTAGTCAGAAGCCTGAAACAACGCAGCACACATTAATGGCCTTGCCTAAAGCCCGTTGGTTTTAGTGGGGATTTGCACCCGTCAATAAAGACAAAGCAAAACCTGCTGCCCAGCAGATTAATGTCAGCACAACACATTGCTGAGCTGGGAACGCGAGTTTGGGTCTCGGGCTTTGTGTTCTGCTCACTGGGTGGCAAAGCTGGCCATCCCACATTGCTTTCAAGCAACTTTAGCTGAATCCAGTCAGCTTTGCTGCCTCATGAGGGAGCAATATTTGCTTTCCTTTCCCTGAAAGGATTAAAAGGGACTAAAAAAAAGAAAAATACGAATCCATGAAACCTCTCTGATGCCACTCTGGGGAAATGATGGGAAAAAAAAAATATATATATATACATATATATGAGTAGAAAACTTCTGTTGTTGTTGACAAGATATGGCCTATATTACAGGGTGGGATTTAATTTTTTTATGTCATTTTTTATATTGAAATAGTTTTTGTGGTAGCCACAGAAGAGATTCAGGTTTGTATCTGATGGGAGAATAAGTAAGGTACAAACCCATCCTTGTCAAGCCCATCAGACATGGTCTTCTGAAGAGGCTGGAGAGTCTCAGATCTAGATGTCAATAACAAAGAATTCACCCCTAATTCTTGGTACAACAAATATGAAGTTATCTCCCAAAATGTTTAAGCAATCTTCTTTTCTAACCTGGAGGCTGTTTCCAATACTCCCAAGTACATCTAGCAGTGCTTTGCATTAACAACCAAACCTCGTTACAAGGTCAACGAATCTCAACCATTCTGGTACCTTCTGTATTGGCTTTTAACACAGGACAAAGTCCCACAGCAGCACTCGGCCAAACACATTCTTGCCACTATGTTCAAATGAGTGAAGAGCTCTGCCAAATCCAGTCCAATCACCTCACCTGCCCCATGAGCCCAACCTGCGGCGCAGAGCACACATTACATTTATTTGATTACCAGTTAATTACGGCATTTCTCCTCTTACGAAACAGGGCTGGAGTCTAGTTCACACCTCACACTGAAACAACTTGAAACAGAATTTGAGTAGACAAGTTCTAACAGTGTTTCTCATATTTTATCTATCATGCCTTGCAAAGTATTATTTTCAGTTTAACCGGCTGTTATGGCAGCATGTCACCATGGCCTTTCATTTCACTGGAAGCATCCTTAACAATTTTAACTCAGTACTCCAATAATGTTCTCAAATTTGTCGGGGTTTTTTAATGCTTAGGCCTGAAGCAGGTTAAAATGCAGCTACCTGTAATAAGCTTTATAGTCAGAAACACTGAATAGGCTCTTTCTTGCCCCAGTTTCTTTAAAGGTCCATGGAAATAACTGTCACCTTTTAATTCCAACCTTACACTGCTGCCTGTCATTTATTTGCTTTCAGAGCTCAGTTACGTTTTTCCTCTTCCACTATCTGCAACTGAGCTTGTCAACTATTATTAAACTTGAAAAGTCACCCAGCTGCCAAAGGAACAAGTGCCCTGACTCTGAGAAATTTAATAGGATTAGTTCTTTCAGTAAGGGCATCAGTACTGAAAGGGACTGTTCTCATCTCAGTACTAAAGTAGATCTCTCTTGTGCTATATTTGAACAAGTTATTAGTAACTGCCAACATAATTTTGGACCTTTCAAGCCTTATGTCATTAATCCTCTCCACATACTAAACGCTTGGAAGGAGATCGGCTATCTTACAATTATATTCATGTCTGAATAATCCTGAGAAAACAAATCAGATACTGCACCAACAGAAGCTCCGCAATAGCTCTCTCAGTACTCATTCTGACCGTGCTTCCCGCATCGAGAAACCTTGTATTTTTCTGCTGACATTTAAATGACTTGTTTCTGTGCAGGCCATCAACCAGGTAAGATTCAGCCAGTGTCAGTATATAGTGACCACGCAAATAAGGAAATGTCGCAAATGTCACAGACTATTTCAACAAGAAAACATTTTTAAATATTCCACGTGCCCTGAAGAGAACATCTCTGTTAACGAGGATTTTTAGACAACTAAATTCCCGTCTAACGGGTACACAGACCCCCCCTCGCGGATGCTAATCGTGTCTTTTGGGGGTGCTTTCAGAGACGAAGCACACGGGGTGACAACCCAAGTGCCGGCGGTGTTCCGTTTCACCGCACGACCCCGTCCCGGTACTCCGCAGCTCACTCTCACTAACCGATCCCGAGGCAAAGCGAGGGCCCCGCACACCGAGCGGCGCGGCACCGGAGGCTCCCGCCCGCCTCTGCTCCGGCCGCGGACCGTCCAGCCCGGCGGCGTCCCCGAGCAGACACCGGGGCCCCGCACTGGTACCTGTCGGAAGACCATCAGCACGGCGGTGGGGAGCGCGGTCCCACGGCGGGGCCGCCCGCACAGCCCCACGCACAGCCCAGCAGGATCCTCGCTGTGTGGCTCTGACCGCGCAGCGCGAAGACACGTGTCTCGTCCTACACCGGGGGCAGCCCTGGAGGCACCCGGCAACCCTTCGGTACCCGCAAGGGCTCCTTCGCGAAGAAGAGCTCCCCGCTCCCCGCCGCCTGTTACCTCAGTTGCTTTTGCTCCAGCTTGAGCTTCTTGGCTTGCGGCTCCCCCGCTGCCATCTTCGCGCTGAGCGGCGTGCGGCGCGCTCCGCTCACCTCGGCTCGGCCCGCCCCGCGACCACGCCGGCGCCGGCACCACCACCGGGAGGCGGGGGTGACGGGGCTGACGGCCGCCTGACGGGAGGGGAGGCCGCGCCGGCCGCCGCTCCTGCCCAGCGGTGCGCTACCGCGCCGCCCGCCCGGGTGGTTTCTAGCGCCTGGAGGCAGCCCCCGTGCCCTTCCCGCCGCAGAGGCAGAGGGGCACCTGCGGGCGGTTGGCGGCTCTCCGCTGCAGCGGGACTGGGGGTCTGCTTGTGGGGGACCCCCGTTATTCGCCGCTCTGCTCAGGCAGCGCCCCGGCCGCCCGCACCACCGCCGGGGGGCGGCCCCTCGCGCTGCCGGGCCTCGCCGCCATCTTGGCCGCTGCCCCGGGAGCGGGACGGGCAGCACTGGGCCGGGGGAGGTATGTGGGGCGCCGGGGGCCCGGGGCGCTAAGGGCAGCCTGACCGCGGGGTGTGAGCTTCTGTGCTTCGGGGTAAACGGCGGTCGCGGTGGTGGGGCGGGCCTCGGCGGCAGCCGCGAAACCCCTCCCGGGCCGGAGCAGCCTGTGCTCGGCGCCTCAGGCAGCCGCCGGCAGTTGTAGGTGGCTGGAGTCCTGCAGGGGTGACAGCCCAGTCGGTGGTGGTGATGGGACGCTGTCCCGACAGTCCGGGATTTACCGGTTTACCTGCGTTCGTTCCCGTTGTTCGGTGTCCGTTTACACACAGAATCAGTCCGTTGTTTTAATAAACCCTTGTTCTCCGGGCGCAGATGCCTGTGCAGAATAGCGCTGTGTGTGCTGAGCCGAGGGTGCGCAGGACCTCGGCTGCCCCTGCTTTTACCTCTCCTAGGAGCGGGGTCCTAATCCCGGGGGGCTGCATGGGGTGTTCTCTGAAGTAATGATAAGGAAGGATTATGCACAGGGTGGTGATTTAGGTCAGTTTTTACGGGAGGTAGCCCGGGGCCTGCAGGAGGGATGATGCAGGAACTGCTGTTCCAAGTCTACCTGCAAAACCTGCAGCAAAGCCACACCAGGAGGGGTAGGTAGCACCCAGCTCTCCTCAATCTTCCTTAGCAGCATTGCTGCAAACGTGGTTCCGGCCATACTGCTTTTGCTTACCTAGCAAAGGTCCCTGTGAGTGTAGGTTTGCATAATATGCGCTGGAAATTAATCCATTATCATCCGGCGCTGTGCATCGCATATCGCTTCTGCCCCGTTCACTACCTAACAGCATAACTGAGTGGAGGTTGTCTCGTTTTTCTTTTGTTTCAGTGCTAATCTACTTTGAAGTAGCAATGCATTTACTGTCCAGGTTGATGAATGACTTGTGCCCATTAGATGTTAATCAAACTGGAGAGATAGCTTCATCATAGCTACTGGGTAAACAACCAGGCAAAATTCGTACTTAAACAATGAAAATTAATTCATTAGAAGGCTGTGTAGGTTAGGAAAAGCTATTTTGCAAGAAAAGCACAAGCAAATTAAATTACTCATGCAAGAGGTAAAATGATGGAAGAAATGTTTTGCAAAAAACCCGACTATGCCACTATCAGAATGATTCAGCTGGCAATTCCCAGCAGCTGTAAGTTGTACATAGGTTCTCATTTATGGAGGAAAAAAACACCAAACCAGACATCTGAACAGTATTTCACTGTAAATGCCTAGAAATTAATCTGTGGTGTGTTGGGTGCTAACTCAAAGACACAAGCAAACCTGGGTTTATAAAATAATAATAATGGGACAAGCATATTCTTTCCCATCTGAGCACACATACCTGAAAATTCCTTGCAGATAGCAAATTAAACATTAAGACCACTCCACACCCTCTAGTGCTTAATTTTGCTGTCCTTATCCTGAAATGAAGTTTCCTGTTGTGTAAAATAGCTATGCACCAGCCAAATGCCAGTTACCCTTTCAAACAAAGCTCTTCTTACAAGCAGTTCTGCATTAAGAATCTTAAACAGAAACCTTGTCATAAGGATTCATGAAAGGGAAATTGAAGCCCTTGAAGAGGTAGAGAGGTCTGAACAGCACGGTGACAAGTGGCAGCTGTACTTCATGACTGTAATAATGGGAAGAAACCAAATTAAACCTTTTTAAAAGGTTAAGTTCCTTCCTCTTAGTTCTCTTTTATTTTTTCACCCAACTTAGAGTTTCCCATATAACTTTCAAAACTTAGTTCATATACAGAAAATGACATCTTTTATGCTCATTAAACATAGCGCATGAGAGGCTGCTTTTGTAACAGGAACTTCTAGGTATTTGGGACACTGATTTTGTTAATGTAAGATGGAATAATTGAAGAGTGCTGCTTAGCTGTTGTCTCGTGGAAGAGAAGGGGGTAAAAAATGGTTAGATGCCTAATTGTGGCAGAGTGCATGCACATTAGTAAGAACTGTCATTCACAGCAGGGGTCCAGTGGTACTTGCTGGTATTTCTGTAGTGCATGATCTGGTATTTCAGTAGTGCATGATCTGGTATTTCAGTAGTGCATGGCTCTTTGGCTCGGTGCTTGTCCTTTCTGGAACCTTGAGTGCCTCTTAAAATAGAGCTGGTAGCACTGTCGCTCTCGCCTCTGTACTTACTGGAGCACTATGGAAAACGTCTTCCCAAAGAACCACTGAGATGAACTTTTATATCCTATGATCACATCCTGCTGTCTTGGTCATTAAGATTTCTGGTTTGGCTGGAATATGAGCCTAATTAGCAGCCTGTATCTGAAAATCCCGTTGATAGTTAACAGTAAATGTGTGACAAGATACGTTACCTATGTCCATTTGATCTTCTCTGTCTGTTCGTTACTACTTTCAGAGAGGAAATGTCTTAAATGGCTGAAATGTCATAAGTCCTGAAGCAGCCGATTCAGATGGAAATTGTGTTAGAAATGTTCCATTTTCATATAGAAATGTAGTTTTAGCAATGAATTTTTGATTGTTTCCACAGAGGTTTTGGGGGGCTTATGTTTTTGGTGTTTTTTTTTTTTTTTAAATAAGAAATTCTTGCTTTTTCAGCTTCTACAGTGAAGTTTTCTGTTCTTTTAGGACCCAAGGGGAACTGCAGTTTTTCAGGATGTAAGATTGTTCTCTTGGCAAGAGATGGAATTATCTTGCCAGCAATTAGAAGATTTATAGTGGAGCTAAATTGAACAGAGGCTCCATGCACATGTATTATTGGAAAGTTCATCAGTCAGTAGATGAAATGCCGCACAGATTCTTATGCAGGCTGTGATTGCTATTGGTAAAAGCATGGAGGAAGTTTGAAATTCTGTTACGGATACCAAACACTGATTTAGGATTACTTCAGAGTATTCTCAAAGGACTACTTCCTTTTAAAAACAATTCCAGAAACTTACTATCAGTGTTTTAAATTAGAGCAAAGATAAATAAATGTATACCGAGCATCTGGGAAGCCAAATGTTTAGTCTTTAATAGGGGTGATCTTGCTGGTAAAATATACATCTGAGTAATCGTACAGAAACAAGCACTTCATTGTGTTAAGTTAGACAGTTAGAGCTGATTTGATGATGGGAGTTTTGCTTTACTATAGAGAGAAACACCAGGCAGTTCTTAAGAAGGGTTGCAAAAATGTTTTTACTTTAATATGCAGATGCCTAAGCCTTGGGCATTGTATAAGTAAAAAGATTAATGACACTTAAGCAGCAGCAGTAAGATATGTTAGCAATTATAGGAGCCTTAAAAAACTGAAATCACAGAACATTCCATTTTAGTAAGATCTGAGACTTCCAGGTATATCAGTTTGAATCACAGCTGCTCATGTTGTGTCAAGTTAAGTTCATGTTCAGAGCTTTCTTTTCATCAGGTTTGCTGTTTTAAAAGCTGGTGAGTGGGGCTGGGGTGGTGGGGAGGAGAGGTTTTGCCACAGCTGTGGAACATTTGTGACACATCTTGATTTTATAGGAAAAAGCTAAACTACCGACCAGCTGCTTGTGACAAAAATACTAACTTCAAAATAGAGCTGCCTATTTTAGCTTCTTTGTTTCTCCAGATTACTTTAAGCATTTGGTTACTTTCCATTTGCTTGTCACTAGAAGTTCATTTCCACAAATACATAACAGAGGCTCAGACAATCCATCCCCACTAATCTTTCCACCCTTCAGAGAAGCTATGCCAAATGCAGGGAACATGGGAATCTGTGGAATACTTTCCCAGTGATGGTCCCATCTTGAGCCATTTTCAGTCATTACTACATGCTCTAAAGGGCATTGCAGAGGTCAGTGATAAATTCCTCACTTCCTGGTTTTCAGAGCTTTGTCTAACTCAGCTCAGTGTTGTGGAAAAGCAGCTGCTAACAGTATTTCTGCATTAATTACATTTCAGAGTACTTAATTGTAGCTAAGGACAAGCATGTGCAATCAAGTCTTTTTCCCATGCTCACAGCTTCTCCCTCTTGCCAGTGAGCTCTGCTTTTGTCTTGTGAGCCTGCTATGACTTCAGTCCAGATGTTTCTGTGCCAAGAGACTGAGAAAATAGTAACACTGCAAAATCCCAACTTAATCAACAGAAAAGATACAGGCTTGGAAAGAGCATATTGAAGGCGCCTTAGTTAAAATATTTAGTTCTTCTGTGAAGACTTCATATTCTGGTAGGACAGAAGTGACTGCAAAGAATGATGTGGAATTTTGTGTGTCAGATGGGAAGTCTGAGAAGCTGCAAAACCTCTACCGGCCTCCTTGTTGGTGCAGTGCCTGTAAGATGCCTTTCAGTCAGGCAATAATATGGAAGGCTGTCAGCCTACTGAAAATGAGCTTGAATGGCTTTCTTCTTCTTGAATGGCTTTCTTAGGTCTAAAAGCAGAGTGGGAGGCAAACATATCCTTTTGAAATAGTCTTACAAGCACACCATGGAGTGGTTTTATGCTGCTATCTCAAAGCAGTGTATGTATGCTGCACAGGTACTCTCACGGTTCTTACAGTTTGGTGGTGTGCTTCTGCTACTGTTTTCTTAAACTTACAGTCTTTGATTCAAGACCTTTACCCTCAAAGTGCTGCATCTCGTAACGTGCTTTGCTGTTGGCCACGAGTATTGGCTTGACTGTTGGTGTGAGGAATCTGACTGTTACTAGATTGAATTGTTGTGTTCAGCATTTTTTAATCTTTGTTTTTCTTTGCATATCTAATGTTCTGGTGAGATAGAGAGTACTGAGAAATGAATTCAGGGATGTCTACATGTCTGAAGTGAAATCTGGCACTAAAAAAGAGTAGCAGGGAAATCTTC